ACGTGCAACGGGTTTCGCAAAAAGAGGGGTAAAGCACCACAGCAGTGTGTGCTCGCGTGTCCCACAAGCCGGGATGGCTGAGCCAGCCGGTTCTTTCCCTTCTGCATAGCCCCTGGCGTACTTCCCAAGCAACCCCTCCTCCCCCCCCCCCTTTGCTGCGGCTACAACCAGTTCCATCTGCGTGCCACCCCATCCGTCCCCCAGCCTGCCCGACCCGCCCCATCCAGCAACAACCTCGCAGCGGGAAAGTTTGCATGTCGCGTGACCGTGCTTCTCACCTTCGAGAGCGCGGCGACCTGTGCCAGTATCTGCGTGGTGCAGTCCTTGAGGTTGTCGATAGAAGCATTCAGCTTCGTCGACCTCGCCTTCACCTCCTCCTCCATGTCCCCCCCCTTCCCCGACTCTCGCCGCGCCTGCTTCGTAGATCGATCGATCGATCGTGGTCGTTGTCGTGGCGGTGTTTGCGATTCCGTCGCCGTCCGGCGCCGTCCGTCAGGAGGCGGTTTGTGCGGGAAAAGGCGAGCATGCAGGGGGCGGGCAGGAGAACACGAGATGGAGAGAGATAGAAGGGCAAAAACGGGAAGGTGGAATAAAAGTTATGAGCATCTGATTGTTGCGCCTTGTCGTCGTGATCATCGCCCACATCGTACCCCACTACATACTGCTGCAAATCCAAACACCCAAACGAGCACGGAGACTGAGGGGGGGGGGGGGTAGACGGGGAGGAGACAATCGAATATTGAGAGCCCACCCGTCTGCGGGTACTTCACCACATCTCCGTTTTCTACGCTTTCCAAAAACACCGTCGTGACTGGCGGGATGCGAGGTGTGAGTGCAAAACTGGCCGCGAACTTTGGGTGCATACGCGACAGATCAGCACGCCGCACACAAGCGAGATACGTCAGGAGAACATGCACGCCATCGTTCTGAGTTGAAAAAAGGCCCTTTCTTCAAAGTAACTAAACCAAACGATCTCTGCTTCCCCCCCTTTCCTTATAACCGTCTTCGACCTCTCTCCACCCCCTCTCTCTCACCCGCAATTTCCATGCCCCCTTCTCTCTTCCTTTTCCCCAACTCGAGACACAAAAACTACTCGCCTCCACCGCTTCGTGTTTTCGCTTGTGGTGGCCGTAGTCGAGCAGCAGCTGACCCCGTCGTTTCGCCAGCAGGTCGATGCCGTCGCAAAAGTCAAGCACGGCCTTGAGGGGGGCCTCCAAGTACTCCGTCAGCCCTCGGATCATCGCGTCCTGTACCGCTACACGGCACAACGAGAGCTTCAACTGTGTGTTTTGTGTTGCATGCAGTGCGGAGGAGGGGGGGGGGGGGTCACGGAGGCATGTGGGTGTACCTAGGCTTATTATTATTATTTGCGTTGTGTGCGTGAACTCCCACCGGTCTGGAACTCTCGCAACGATAGGTACATACTTATATACGTACATATACAAGAGCAGACAGAACGGGGGGGCGGGTTGGGGCGTACTCTAATGTTTTGCATGCCTTAGCGGTTAGACCATTGACCTCGAGAGGATGGAGCCATTGTTCCCACAGGACCGATCATCGATGGCCAATCATTCCTTCCTACAGTGTACGTTGCCAAAAGTGGCTCAAAAATGCCTAGCCTATATATCCTATCGATACCACTTCCGGTCTTTTCAACCCACTTCCTATGCCCCAGTACAGCTATCGTCTTCTCCTCGCTAATCCACGCCTCCAACATCTCCCGGTATCTTCCTTCTACCTTTCCCAGCACGGTCATGTACACTTCCCTCTCCGTCTTGTACAACGGACATTCCGCAACTACATGAACCCGGTCTTCGCACTCGGAGTCGCAATCACATTTGAACTTGTCCTTATCGTCTACCTTCCTAAATCTTCGGTCTACGTGCTCGAAGGCCAGTGCCCCCGGTCCTAATCTTGACCTTCAGCTTTGTCCCTGCATCCATTGGTCCATGTAGGTACTCCTTGAACCCTATTCTTTCTTTCAACATTCCGTACACATCTAGACCCTCTTTATCCTTGGTTTCTTTGGTTAGGTTCTGTCCTTCTCTCTCGGCAAAAGCAGCAGATATCTTCTGCTTGAACCTCTCTAGACCCAAGCTAGACCTTCCGGTTCCAGCATATAACCTTCGTCAATTTCGAACTCTTTCCATACGTCCTCTACAACCTTGACTCACTCCGTGGGGTGTCTACCCCTCTTCTTGTTTGCCTACTTCGCCTGCCTACCTATTCTCGGCAACCTCTCCTCTCCCACACCGCACATGCGGTACGGGAGAACGGGGGGGGGGGGGGGGGGGGGGGAAAATTTTCTCCCCGGGGCGACAAAACCAAAAACAAAGGGGAACCCCCGGGGGGTGGGGTCCATCTTCAAAAAT